GTCTCAAAAAGAAAAACAAAACAAACAAACAAAAATCCAAAACAAAACCAAAAAATAGTGTGAAACTGCCACAGGCAAACACAGCCCTGAATAGAACCAAGGTTAACTGACCCATATCTTAGGTGGATGGGTCTTGGCAGTGTTCCAGAAAACCTTGACGGAGAAGTGGATGGAGGGTGGGGGCCTACAATGGTGCTCTTAAACTTCTTCGACTGCAAATATCCCAAACTGGTCTTCCCAGTTCTAGTGAAAGAACACAAATAAACAAGCACACACAGACACCAGGAAAACTGTCTACTTTTGCCTGTCTACCACTTCCATCATCTAGGCTGTGGGGTCTCTCACCAGGCTATAGCCCAACTTCTTTAGAGCTTAGAAGGACCAGCGGATGAGACACGCAGACAACAGGCAGACTGGGAAACTGCAACTCATGCAGTTTCCTAGTTTTCCTACTGCAATTTTCTAGTTTTCCGGAGACTCCCATAGCAGAGGACTAAAGAACTCAGTTTATCAACAGATAAGCCCACCCTCACACACACACACAGGCCTCTGAATCCTTAGTGGGTTGGACATGGTGGCATATGCCTATAACACTGGCATTCATGAACCTGAGGAAAAATAAGAATTTGAGGACAGTCTGTGAAACCCTGCCTGAAAAAAAAAAAATTCCTAGATGGGGGATTAGGGTGGGTGGGATGTAGCTCAGTTGTGTAGTGCCTGCCTAGTCTGCATCCTGGGTTTGATCCTGCAGAAAACCAAAAAGAAAATCTTTGGGGACCCTTTCAGTTGACATCTGTCCCTGCAGGTCAGGTTCACACTTGAGCTCTCTTGCCACAAGAGCTATGAGGGGTAAACTGAGGCTGGAGTGGAGTCGGGACATATTCTGGCACCGCTGTCCACCTTTGCTCTCTTTTACTCACAGCTGAGGAAACTGATGGTAATGACTGAACACCTGAGGGCAATCTTTGCTGTCAGTCAGAGGGAACTCCCCAGCCTTGAATGCAAGGTCCAAGAGGCATTCCAGGTCCAAGAAGCATTCCAGGTCCCTCCGCCCAAAGCCCAAGGAAATGTCAGTGGTGTATCAGAAGCAACAGGGCCTCGGCCCTCAGGAAAAGCTTCTAAGGCTCTTCTCAGAAGGAAAGATAGGACTTGTAGATTGGAATTAGGGTTTAAGACACCAA